ACGTGAAAATTTCACGCATGCGCTTTTGTAACTTCAGAATTGAACCAGCCAGAGGACCCAGACTTTCTGAGCATAACCGACGGTGGCCTTTGACCAAATACACGCAAAACGACTTGCACTCCACTTTCATGTCTCATGTACGCTTTACGTGCACACACGTGAAATTTGACGTAACTCCGCAACCAGAGCAGCTGGAGTGCTGAAACTTTCTGGACGATACCCGGGACCGTATCTGAGTAACCGCGGGCGACGAAAGCATTCACGTTGCCATTCACGTACGGACACGTGAAATTTGACGCAATTCTGGAACCAGAACAGCTAGCGTGCTGAAACTTTCTGAGCGCTACCCAGGACCATGTTTGACCAACCGCAGGTGAAGAAAGCATTCACGTTGCCACTACGCAAGAACACGTGAAATTTGACGTAACTCCGCAACCGAAGCATCCAGAGCGCTGAATTCTTTGGGCATGGATTGGGAGTCATTGTAATTATTTCTAACAGTCGTGGTAGCCAGTCACAATTCTTTTAGCTAGAAGCATCTGCCGGGAAGAGCGTGCCACTTGCAAAAAAAAACCTGCAGGGGAACTGTGCAAAAAACGCATCCTCGTACCGGCAGTCGGTACGCTTTCGACTAAGTTACCCTCGTGTTCTTGACTTTTATGTTCTCCCGTTACTCTATCCAGTCCCCAAATTCTGCCTGTAAGGCAACATCTGAGCTCCTCTTCAGCCCCTCTATTAGATGCACTCTGGAAGCAAGCAATATTTCAGCCCTTTCTCTACTTTCGTGGTGAAAACCAGCGCGCACTTCCTCCTCTTTTCCTCTCATTACCCTCTTTCTCGTCCCGTTCCCCCTCCTCCTCTCTTCGCTCACATCTTCTCCAAAAATGTGCAGTCTAGCCAACCGATAAAGGATTTACGCCACGCAGTCATTAAATCCATTTGTCTCAGCACCACCCCTCCTCCTCCTCGTTCCGAATCCCGGCGGGCGAAACCCGCAGCACACCACTCTGCCGCACTGGATGTCTACGCTTCTTGCCATCACTAAGAAAAACTTTTCACGATTCTGTATGATAGTAACTGAGCCGTGTTCTTCAAGTTGCTAGCAGTAATCCGGAGCATATAGCTCTGATTTTTGGCAAAACATGGCTGCTAAAGAAAAAAAATTTTTTTTTATGTCAGCCATGCGCGCCACATTTTTTCGCATGTTCTGACGTTCTTGAAGGCTGCCAATGATTATTTGCAGGGCAAAAGAAAGCAATGGAATATAAATATTTGGTAATGCTTTTAAACATCTTTCATCTCTTCAAAAAAAGCTTACTTGCATGAATTCAGCAGATTCGCCTTGAAACTTCAGTTTGCATTGGTCAATAGTGCCAAATGTGGCAAAGTACTAAGCTAAGCTACTTTACGTCCACCTTACCGGCTTAGCAGTAAAAAAAAGCTGACAATAGTCATTTGCGTTGTCCTTCAGCTAATATTCGCCTGGCTTGTCCTAAATTGTCAAGTATTAATTTTGCGGCAATCTAGAACGGTTGTATGCAATGCAATCCACTTTGTCTTTAATCAAAAATCCCATCAAATTGCATTCGCCTAGCTAGCGGATCAAGAGCTATGGCTTTTTAAACTCCCTTTACTACACTGATTTGTTTCCGAAAATCATAAAATTTGTAGACATTTTGAACGGAAAAGCACAAAAATGCACACACTGTCATTCAAAACTGAAAGGCCCAGTATTTAGAAGGTAATTTTCCTGACTTATAGCTCCTTATTTACAAAGATTTCCTAGATAATCAGCTTCCAGGTTGGAATTCTTGTGTTCGCTGCAATCACATGTCAAAAGCAACGACCCCACAACCATCTTAGCTATATGCATCTAACCGCTATCTTTTCTATACACTGCTCCAAAGCAGCAGATGTCATTCGAATGCTTTGTCTTAAGAATGGCACTTGCCGAAGCCATTCTTATAACAGGAGGAATGCCAATACTCTCCTAACATTCAGTTCGCCTACGTATGTGACTACAGAGTCATCTGCGCATTGCCCAACCAACAGATGGTTTTCCAGGAACACAAATGCCTACTGTTTGGATTGCTTATGAAATACCGCTACTGAATGAATTCATATTTCAGTATGCGGATGTTTCTCTCTGGACCTTTCAACATCCACTCGAGTCAACACTGAAATACTTCAGAGGGGTTATTTATGCATCATTTTTTTTTTTAATTTGTGTAAAACACCAGCAGACTGCTTATTGTTTTGCACCTCGATGTCCAGCAATTTTGTTTTGACTCCTGCCGAATTTCTTTCTTCTCAATCAACACGATCCAACGTCGCACTTTCCTAATCCTTTTGCTTTTCTCCCGATCTCAGACTTGGTTTTTTCATCGATATGGTTGAGTTCTCATTAGGCAAAAATATTGCATATTGTTAATGAATGACCTTCAAGGCGGTCCTTCATTTAGATGATTTGGAAGCAGCCAATATTCAGCCCGGAAACTCTCCGGAAATTCGAGGATATTTTGAACGAGCACGAACGACAGTACAACAACAACAACACGGTCTGGCTTGTAAACACTGTGTCTTGGAATCTGATGGTACGCTAAAATTTGAATTATCAGTATTTTAGCAATCAGTAAGGTCACTGAAAAACGAATGTATTTCTCCAGGTGATCAGGTTCTGCCCTTCCATTTATCACTGTCCCGCAAGTTTATTCAAAATTCACTATGTCGAATCCAAACTCAAACAAAACGTTTCCGCAAGCCTAAGTAGCAGCCAGCAGAATTGTAATTTAAACTCCCGAAAACTCATTCGCATATCCAAAACGTACAGAAGTTGTAGCGCAACCCCATCACATGCTCTAAAACTGAGGATAAAGCAAGTGAAATATGAAAGCCATTAACAAACGTGTATCAGGACTGAGCTTCTTAACCTGATTTTTGGAGTTCCTTGCACATAAGCCAATTTCAATAATTTTTATGCGTTTCTGCATATATGCAAATTGCAAAAAAGCATGATGGGAAGGAACAGTGTATGTGTGTGTTTGTGTGTGTGTGTCTGTGTGTGTGTCCGTGTGTTCGCACTTTTTGTCACCCACTTTCAACTCGAGAATCAGAAAACCCAGAAAGCTGAAACTTTGGGTATATGTGCCCATACCATGCGCGACCCTCTCGTTTAATATCATCTCCTGCGGACGCCTGAGTGCCGCTTACAGACGCTTTAAAAAAATATGCAAATTTTTTGGCGGGAAAGCGATCTCGAGAACCAGATAAGATAAGGCGTTGAAACTTTGTAGAGATATTCCCTGCACACGTGTTAGCTAAAGATTTCAAATTCAGTCTCCAGGTAGTAGTGGCATCCATGTAAGGATGTATGAAAGTTTTGGCGAGAAAATTGCTAATCCGGGAACAAGGAAAGCCAGAAAGTCGATATTCTGGGAGAATGTCCCCTGCTCAAGTACTACTCAAATATTTTAAATCCAGCCCTCAGGTATGCGTGTTTCCTCACTTACAAGCAGGTGAAAGGTTTGGCGGGAGAATTATTAACTCGGCAACCAGAAAAGTTGGAAGGCTGAAATTTTAGTGTAATGTTCCTTGTCCAAGCATAGCTTAGACGTTTTAAATTCAGCCCTCAGATATGCTTGGCTCTCAAATACGAGCACGTGAAACATTTGGCGGGAACATTGCTAACTCGGTACCCAGAAAAGCTGGAAGGCTGAAATTTTAGGGGGGGGGGGATGCCCCCTGTCTATGTGAAATTTAAAAATTTCAAATTCAGCTTCCCAGGCACGTGAGGTACCCAAGTACGGGCATGTGAAAGTTTTGACGGGAAAATTACGAGCTCGGGAATGAGAAAAGCTAGAAAGCTGAAATTTTAGGGCAATATCCCTTGTTCAAGTACAACTCAAATATTCCGCATTCAGCCTTCAGGTTTGAGTGGTTCTTAAGTACGGACACCCAAAGCTTTGGCAGGAAAATTGCTCACTGAACGGCCAGGTTATTTTTCATGAACAACCCTTAAATGGAAATTGTTTGTTTACTTTATGCAAAATCTATGGTGATTTACGATAGTGAGCGCAAAATGTAGGTGTAAAAGCAATAAGCATTCAAGCATTAATGAACTGAGTACTTCAAGTCTGGTGCAGAAACATATGATCGCGCCTGCAAGCCTCATGCGTTTCTACTTGGGTTTGAATTCTTATTATTTTACAAACAGTATTACGCCGGCCATAAACGTAATATGATTTTAAAAAAATGCTTCAAAATTTCCGTTCATTAAAGGAAAATCCGAAATCTCAGAGTTTCAAAATTTGTTTCATGAAAAGAAGAGGTTGGCTGCTTTAATTATTCGTATCATCTCCAACGTTCTTCAGAGTTTGCCTGTGAATCTGAGTTTGCTCAGGACAAGACTCTGCAAACAAGCACGTAAAATACATTATTCAAATTCAAAGTTAAACGACGGTGCTAATTTCAGCGCTTGTTTCAACGCGAAATCGAGCAAGCAGAACAAAAAGTGCTTCCGCTGCTACCAATTATACCGTATGACAGTGAACCCAGTGCAATCGCTTTGTCGAGCACCGAAGAGCCCGCAGGGACACTTGCGCCTGTAGCGGGAACATCCGGGTAAATTTTTGGATTTGAAAAAGCCTAATTTTCCCTAAAAGCAAATGTAGCCCATGCAACCGGACCAAATGTACGCGCGAGTTTGTAAAGAACGTCGCTAGCCAAGACTTATATTTTGTATGTCTTTGATGATTCAAATGTGCATATACTGACACCTTTCTTCAGAAAGTGTCCAAAAAAACTCATTCGCTTTGTCCTTCACAGCCATTAATTAGCTTTCCGCGTGTGTTTCATAATACCATTTTAGATATAAAACTGCTGGACGTTTCAAGGCTGACTTGCAGATTATTGGTACTACCACCACCCTGGCAAGTGCAGCGATACGCACGTGAGGAACGCCGCTAGAAAGCCAGTGATAGTGGCGATGATAAGATGATGACATTTACTGATTATATTCTGAAGTGCTGTTGTTTCCAGGCTTTGAAATTTTTTTATGATTGATGTGTAGACAAAAACATTATGGGTAATAGATGGGTAATAAACTGACGAACCAATGTTTGCAAGAACTTGTTGTTTGTAATCAATTTGAAATCTAAGCCAAGGTCTTGGTTGATGTGAGAAATTGACAGGCACTATTTATGTGCTTCCGCGAATTGTTTTGCCTGCTTCCTTCTCTATAGACCTTACGGTACATCCTGTCGAAAACATGCTTAATTGAATTGTTTGCGGGAAATCGTCGTGCTAGGCATCGCTGAACTTATTTCTAGATGAGGTGTATGGAATTGCGTGCGAAGCCAAACAAACGCCGAGAACTCATTACCATTATATTGCAACTTTTTATCTATTGAACTCACAATGTCAAACAGGAAGTTATCTTTTCGCTGATCCTGGAGGTGCGAAATTTTACTTTTTACATATTGAAAGGCCGAAAATCAACTGCACAAATAATGAGCTTAAAAATTTCCAGCTACGAACTTCAGTAAATCACTAGCACTTAATTCAGAAAGATATATGCAGTAACATAAAATGGCGAAACAAAAAATTGAGGCATGAGCGGGTATGCGTTTTTAGAGCTAGTTTTGAAAATCTATAGGAGTAGCAAAGTTTGCTAGATTTAGGGAACCTGAAAGTTATTTTTAAACTATAATTATATGTTGTGACAGACAACGTATAATAAATTTCAGTTACAAACTGTCAGCTTCAAGCTTCATATCTCCGTCAATGAATAGTGGAAAACTGATTTCATATATATTTATGACATACATCTTGTGGGCCATTTTCACAAAATTTCAGCCCTATCTAATGTAACTGTGAGCTCACACAATTGCTAGCGTTAACCTTCGTTTGTCCCCGTGTGAAGTGCGGGAAGGTTGCGAAGGTTGATTTTATACTTGCCTATCCACAAATTATCGCGGACAAAGCTAACAAAATTTTAGCTCTCTGATAAAATTGGGTATCGGTCTTTGCAGTTAGTTTCGCGTTGCTGTAGGCCATGCTCAAAAAATTTCAGAACTGTTGTGATTGAGAAGTCATAAAATTACTAGTGTCAAATTCCACGCCTCTGCAGTTGAGATGCATATTATTCGAAAAGCCGGATTTCTATCAGGATCCTCTTGTGACGTTTATCCACTATCCTGTTTGACTAACTCGTCTGTCGTGTCATCTGCTCTCATTTATGTGTGACCAGATTGATAGTTAGGAGTTTTGCTAGGATCAGATCAGATAGGAAGATCTGGCCAACCCTTCAGAAATTGCATATGGGCAGGATTAGAGTTTTGCCGGGTTTAATGGCTGCGCAAGCGCTGGTCCTCGACAATATGGTGTTCCTGAAATTCTCGACGTTGTCGCCATGGTCGTCGCCCCCACTTCTCCGCGGGAGCCCAAACGGGTTCAGCCGCCAGTTTCAGGCAGGAATCTGAGGATATTATGCTTTTTTACGTGACCCACAAAAGGCTTAAAACGAATTGCTGGAGCAACAGGCCTTGACTATTGCTTACACATGGGAACTCTGCTGCGCATCCTATGGCCGTGAACCTGCTTTATGTAGAAATCTTGGCTGTGCCCTCTTCGGTGGCTGGTGGTTGGTGCTTCCATCGCATTCAGTTCCCCATCGTTAAGCTCCGCTCATTCGCAAAGTAAGCCACTTCATTGAACCCAGTGCGCTTATTCGTTTATTCGTGCACTTTTACTTGATTCAGTAAACGCTCCGCATAAATATGTGGTAAACTTTAGGAGCATAACAATAATAATCTTAATCAACTTAGTTTTCAGTGTTTCTTGACTCTCTTTTCTTGGCTTTTTTTGACTGCAGAATTGGCCTGAACCTGGACTTGAGGTCGCTAACAGGTGATAGGGAGAATTATAAATTGAATTTCGGTCTGTATTCTTACAGGGCAGCAATGATCCGGAAAAGCTCATTTTCCGCGCTTTTGTACTTCAAAACGAAATTGAAATAACGGTCACATACGCAAGACTGTGCCATTAAGATTCTGCAAGCCGTTGTTATGGCTTGTTGTAAATAAGGAGGTTCAGACTTGAATTTTAAAACATGATGAATG